TCCAAACTTGCCGCGTGAACCAGAAGTAGTTAGTCGCTGATTCGTTGGTTCGATTAACGTTTTGTACGGTGGAGCCCAGCTTGGTAGAAACAGTTGAAAGTTTTGTTCTGCATAGGAACCACATTGTATACTGGAAAGGGCTAGTAAGGTTTCCAATTGGAGCACTTCAACCTAAAGTAATCAACCAAAACTAATGTAGGTTTAGTGGGTTGGTAGCACTAAAAGTAACGTAACACGACCAAAGTGTGAAAAATGTTATTTAACACCGACAGTCAAACATAACGGAGGGTGAAACTGTAATCACAAACTTTGAGCACTACCTTGCAGATAACAAAGGCGACAAGATTTTTTTTAATTATTTGCCATCTTTCCAGTTTCTTCAAGGTACTATACATTTGTTCTCGCTTTCCGATCGGTAAATTTTAAAGTCTTCCGATCCCCGGAAATTTGTTTCGATAACCAGCAAAGATTGTGCACTTAAAAAGCGGCGTTAAGTAGAGTTACAGCCCGGCTCACGTTCATGTATATGATTTGTCAGGTGATTCTCGTAGAACACCTCCAGTTTTCAAGGGCAAAATTATAACAACCTTCTAAAAGCCCAACCAAGAGGGGAGTGTGGAGCTAGATCCCGTTTTAATTTAGGGAGAATACTGAGTAAAATAGTCATGCAAAGTTGAGTCCTTTATCTTTCACGTTTGGTGACTACAAAATCACATTTCATGTCAACTTAGAAACCTAATTTTTTTCCCGGTCAATAATTTCAGAAAAACGTAGCTACTTAGCAGATCACGTTTCGCAAATAAGAAAACAGTCACATTTCGAGTCTAGAAAGTAAAAACAGTTCTGAACTGGGAAAACGAGAAACTAAAATTACCCGCATTGTTGGGAACATGAGAGTCTTTTAAAAGAACCAACAACGGGTTGACGGGAATACCTTATATCCCTCCTCCCTTCAATTTAGTGTGTCATTAGAATGAAGGCAGTTTTTTTTAACTGCGTTCGACTGAAGCATATCCTGTGTTTTTGCAACTGCTTTAGAATCAATAAGACATGGAGTGATGGATTCTTTGATATTCTTTTGTCAACCTGATACGCTTTTAGAAAAATGCCTCATTGCAATCAACAAAGACTTATTGACTTGGCGAGCATCTGTGCGTTCGACTGAAGCATGTCATGTGTCTTTGCAACAGCTTTAGAATCATTATGACATGGAATGACATACATTCTTTGATATTCTTTTACCAACCTGATACGCTTGTGGAAAAAAGCGTCATTGCAATTGCCAAAGGGTTATCGACTTGGCGAGAATCTATGTGAGTAAATAAGCCAACGAAACGCCCCTAGCGGAAAAAGCAGCTCTAAACTGTAGTATAATGACATGAGTGACGCATTCTTTGATATTCTTTTGCCAACCTGATACACCCATGGAAAAAAGCGTCATTGCAGTCACCAAGAATTATCGACTTGGCGAGAATCTATGGTTTAGAATCTATCGAGTAAATTACTCAACGAAACACTCCTAGCAGAAAAGGGAACTCTAAACTGCAGTATAATTTTAATTTTGTTTTCCCCTGCAGAGATTTCCTCGCTGTCCCGATATGTGGCCGAGAAAACCGCTGCTTGTTTATCCCACTTTGGGATAATAATATCTGTACGGTGAGCAGGAATTATACCTGCTCACAGCATGGTATTTTTCTAAGTCATTATTTTTCACATTAAGCCTACTCGGTATTCGAAATTTATTTCACAACAGTAAAATCCGCAATGCAGACTAGCAAACCTTTTGATATCAGGACTGATCCATGTAGATAATTCATCATATCTTTCGCCACAGATAGAAACCGTCCCGTTTAATCATTCATCAGGATATTGCTTAGAAACGAATGGGAAAATAGAGAAAAAAATCATGAAATAACTTTACTTGTACAATACGATCTACTAACATTTTTCTTCCAAGTTAAGTCAAGGTGGTTCCAACAACCAATTTCGTGTTTGTGCTAGGACTGACTTGTTTACAAAACTTCTCTTCGGCTGGTGCTGATAACGCCAACAAATCCGATTGGTTCAATACCATTTAATGATGCGTTCTTTGGTATCTTATATATTAAAACCCGTCTTCTCGAATTTAGAAATCTAACAAAGGATCCGCTCATTTTTGCGGTTTCATCTCTGCAAAACCTTTGATTGCTTAAGCCTTAGAGAATTTTCCTCAGGGTATTCTCTTGTCCTTGAACGGCTAGGTAAAGACATTCTTTCTCAGTAAATCATATTTCAAGTAAGGCACTACTCTACCCAGATTTTGCGCTCTGTTCCAATCTGCTGTGAGGAGTTTCTTGTTTTCTATCAAGTTTATGTGCAGTTGAAAGACGGGTAATAAGTTAAATGGTACTCGCAAGAGTTTTCTGCATCGCCAACTAACGTCAGCTTTGCCACAAGAAGTGTCATGAAAAGTAAACAGGTCCATTATCTCATGCCCAGACGTAAAATAATTGCCAAGAGTGAAAAGAAATGACAAACACGTACAAAGTACCTGCTAAAAGGCAGTCGTGACTGAGCAGGTATTTTAATACTTGGAAATTATGTGGTTTTGCCACCCGACTTTCCGTCCGAGTGGTTTAGTTCATCAGCCAATTTTTGCCGCAGTGAAGGGAAGTTCTGAGAGAATTTAAGATTGTAGGGTTTTTTCTCTACTTCTCGGAAGAATGGATCGCATGAAGAGTGTAAGATTGTTGGTGCTGGTTTGCTATGTAAATTTTTGTACTTTGTTCGGGATTAATCGTCCTCTAAAAGCGATTAAATTTTAACAGCAGCGTACTTCAGACAGTTGAGTGACAAGTGCTCGGAACAAACATCCTGCAGTAAAATGTTTGTGTATGTTTAAATAGACTGTTTTCCTCTTTGTTCTTCTTGTGGCCTTCAGGTGATGTTTTCGTGTACGCTACCTCCCTGTTCACCGACCAGAAAGCAATCGAAAATAGCAAAAGAAAGGGAAAGAAAGAAGTCGGTGCAAAAAGGCAAGGATCGCTACAACATTGTTAAAGGCCTAGCAGAGGGCATCGATGGAATTTCATTTGAAAGTCTCCTTAAAAGACGGCATTACTTGCGAGTGAGAAATAACTACCTTATTTTGGAGCCCTTCGACGATTCAGAAGACTACAGTAAGTGTTCAAAGCACGAGTGTGTGTTGTTGTTTGCCATGTAAAAACTGCATTTTCATCACCGCAACATGCTCATATTTTTAACTTAAGTCCTCAACGCTAGTTCTCTCGCTTAAGGCTGCTAACGTTGGCTAGAACTAAAAAGTACTTTTTATTCAGATTAAATTTCTGACTAATGGGCAGCAACTTAACAAGTCCAAATATTTGCTGCCAAGGTAAATACAGAACAAAATTGTAAGGATGCTGTACTTAAAATGGGGATATCATACTGTGCAACGCGCCAAGCTTTGCTCAAAATCTTGGATTTATAAAAATGCCGTAGACCTTCTTTCTCTTTTTATAAATTCTCCTTCACCAGCCTGACATAAGAACTGGACTCCTTTCCTAAATCAATCATCCAAGTCAATAGCCAGCGCCGTTTGTAGTGGCATAAAAGGGCATCCCTGTTTATGCAAATGGCAGCTGTGAGGAAAATAAATGTGCCATTAGTGTCGTGCTGACAGTTCAAAAATTTTAGCCGTTTGTCAAAAATGTTAGTTTTGAATCACAACTTGTCACAGAAAAGTTTGAGTTGTTTTAGCTGGATATTCCCGATTCCAATGACAAGAAACCAGACCTGGAGGATATTGGGGAGCCGGTACATGCTAATGAATTAAGAACGCTTTAAGTACTAGCCGATGCCGATGATTTATTTGCGAAGCAAACTATCAAACAAAATGCACAAAAGAAATATTGCTTTTTTAAATGCTATATTGTGAATTTTAAATGGGGCCTCTATTGGCATTGCTCGATTTAGATAAAAGAAAGTGATTCTGAAGGTTTACTTCTTTCGAAACCGTCCTTGAGATATAAAATTGATAGAATTTAATTTATCCTCACTACAAAGAAAGAGGCTGGATCCACAGTAGACATTTGAAGGGAGCCCTGGAAAGGCAATGCAAGCACTGTAGCATCATTCAAACTTTGCTTGTTTTCAGTGTGTTGATTTTTTGGCGCCCTAATAGCTGTGTGACCAGCCCCCGAGCCCCTATCTTCTAACCCCGTCTTTCTAAAACCCTCACCCATACCTTTTTCTTCTTTCTAAAATTAGCCTCTCTGATAAGCCTTCCCCTTTTCTAACCCTGGCTGACTGTTTGTGATCAGAGATCACTATCAGTTATGTCGAAATGGAGGTACCTTTCGTTAAAATTCTCCTACTTTTAATTTATTATCATCGAATTTTCAAGTGCAGTAAGTCTATTTCCACTTCCCCTGTGACTGAAAATAGTAAGACGGAGTTCTTCAACAATAATATTACGGCTCATTACAGAAGCCCCTTTCTTTAAGTCCGATTGCAAGACTTGTTATTCGCTGTATTATGCTTGAAGTTATTTTTACGCTTCCATATGTTGCTGCTAGCACTCGTGCAAAGGGCCACTATTAACTGGAGCGCTCACATGAATATGGAAACATTACGGGGAATACTGAATCGTCTCAAAACACATTTAGAAAAGCAACTCCTTCTTTCGGACTGTAAATCGACGCCAGTGATTTTTATTTCCTTACAAAAGTCTCTTTATTTGCATGACAACGGCAACTTGCTGTTTTCTGGTATACTTGTGAAGCACGTCAAAGCCTCGTGACAGCATAAGATGACAAAATGAAAATACGACTTTTCGAATTTTAATGCTATCAACTTTCCAGATCATTCACTCTTCTCTGCCTGTTGACTATCGATAGATGAAATGTGGGGTGTAAAATGTGACAATTGAAAGCATAACGTACGAGTTCTAAAAATTCATCCTATGTTTTTATTATCATCATCATCACCCCAAAAACCCATTCAAGTGCGCTCGATTACATATTTATTTTGTCCATGAATTCTTAATTTGGATAGTTTCCAAAATAACAAGTAATTTGGGCCAAATTACGTGCGAAATATAATTAACGGGTGATACAAACACCTTCTTGGCCAATCTGGAAATAGTTGAATTGAAAATCATAGTTTGACCGCCAAACTGGACTCAGTTAGCCGCCTCGTCCAATTTTTGCAGTCCTCGGAATTTTTTCATTCATTTTTTTCCAAATTGCATGTTAGATGTAGTCCTATTCTCACATGTTTAATGCATACAACGTTACCATTGAGCAATTAAAGGAGAACCCACCTTACGGCCACTCCTTTAAAACGGCCACTTTATCCTGGCCTGAATAAAAGCTCAGTCAACCATTTCCTTGTTTAATGAGCCCCGTTAAAACGGCCAGATGTTTGTGACCCGTTGGTGAACGGATTAACGGGGTTTCACTGTAGAACGCTAATTCTTCTAGAGTGTTCCTCTCCACCGACTGTGTTTATCTACTTTCGATGGAAATATTCTTACGCAATCATTAGCATGATACACAATAAAAGCACTCGTACATTTGTCTCTAATTTCGTTTCAGGAAAAGAAAGCACGTTTCTTCCCTTGCAAGACATGTGGTACGATGGATACTTTGCTTTCGAATCACTGTTAAATCCAGCGCATTTTATTCGTCGTCTTGGAGAGAAGCTACGCCTGCAGAAGTATGAGAACTCGTACTTTTTCAAAGAAGACTCAAGCTTCAAGTTAACAAGGAAACGATGCATAGGTTAGTGGAGTCGGATTTCTCTTCTGCTGTAGGAAATGAAGTCCTGATACGCTTTTATGATTCTCAAGGTTTTTTTAAAATGTTCTCATTTTTCTTACCCTTTTCGCGACTTAAACCTAAGTTACATGCAAACCCTTGTACGTGTATGAGCTTGGATCTAACGAGCAAATCTTGACCAAAAAACACAATTAAAGAATTTGTTACAAATTGAGTGAACAAACCCGAACACAGCACTTATAAAACAAAACAAAAGTGACATTTTACAAGGTTATAAATTATCAGGTTTTAAACTCACTATGTAAGACTTGATGTTTATAAGACTTAGACGAGACAACTGCTAACCGAAGTAAAATTCTTTCAAAAAGCACGTATAATTAGTCCTTCTGAATTATTAAAGGTAACAAAATGTAAGCTTTCGTGGACGCTACAAGTGAAAAAAGGGTCAATGTTTAAAATAAGGCGAGGACTTTGTTCAACCCAGCCGCTTAAAGGGTTACACTTCTGTTAAAGGTTTAGCACCTGAATTTGGCTGTATGTGAGAAATCTGGAATCGTTAATGTTTACTTGCGGATGTCATTAACACCTGTTATTCCGTGGCTTCGTTAGGATTAGGAAAATTAGACCGCATGCTAAAGTAAAAGGTTTATATGAGGTTTTAGCTGCAGGGTGCTAAACGTTCTGACCTCACCTGAGCTCCATGCGTTGAAAATTTGTCTTGCCAAGTCCACTTTAACCTAGAAAATGAAGAAAAAACAATCAGTATGTGAGGATTTTGCAAACATGCTGCAAATCACAACAACAGAGAGAATAACAGCCGCAGCCGCGCCAGGTAATTTGGCGGGAAAACATATTTCCCGGTCGCGGAGACTGAGGAAGAAAAGAGTGAGCGCCCGGGTGAAATGTTTTCCCTCAGTGCGACTATTCAGTAGCTCTCTTGTTTTTGATTTCTTCTTTGAGTTTTTTTGAGGGGGGCAAATAATCTTTCAGTTAATAATTTCCCTGACATTTCAGCATGTGTAAAAGTGGGTTCGCGAGTCTGGGCAAGAGCAGAGAAAGGGTGCTTCCTCCACGGTATCGTGACAGCAATGGACGACGAAATTCACGTGCTGCTTGATAATGGCAAGAAAATAAAACACAAGAAAGAGAACCCGGAATGCGTAGCAGCGGACGCCATACCTCACGTCGTAGAGGTGGAAATTGGAACGAGGGTGTTAGCTAAGTGGTACAATCGCTTGGACACTTACTACCCTGGGACGGTTGTCGCAGGTCGACGAGGTTTCTTTGACATCCGATTTGATGACGGTGATAAAGGTTGCAATGAGCTTAGGGAGTTAAGAATTCTTAGCCGAACAGGACCAGAAGAAGGTACGTTTAGCTACGTATAGTGCCTAGAACAGCTTCCATTCTATAAGTTTCATGACTAAACGCTGCAACAAAAATTAACTGGCCGAAAATACTCGTGTGTTGATAGCCTCTTTCAGGTTCTCGGTTAGTTGAGAAGCAACTGAACGGCTTGAAGAGGCTAGTGTGGTAGTGTAGTAAAGAAATCACTGAGGACTCAAGGCCCCCAACTCTCCCCTCCCTTAAAAAGAAAACATAAACGCTATTTATTACAACAGCTCAGGTACAGCTACAGCTATTTAGTCAGTGGCGGATCCCGACCTTGACCTTTTTGCTTGCCCTGCCGGCTTTTCTTCCTTATCCGATTTTTTTAACCCAAAATAAGAGGGGGATCCGGGACCCCCGGGCCTCTCTCCTAGATCCGCCACTGTTGGATGTTGCCAGAAACAATATTGGTTTGTTTTTGGACCTGTTTGGTTGGCAAGTCTGAAACAAGCCAAAAGCAAAACCAAATCAGAAAAGGACTACTTTCCAAAGTCACTGGAAAGTTGCTCAAGACCGTACCACGTTGAATATTACCTCTTTGTCCTCCACTTAGCTGGACATTCTCTCCCTCCTTGGTCATCACTGGATGGGATTCCTCGCATTGAAGGGGGCTTGTGCATCGACTACGCTGACATCATAACAGCGGGTCCCAGCCTGCTCAACCAGGAAATAAAAGACAAATTAACGATAGACAATGAAATTATTTCTCCGCGTGATTCGCCCGTGGAACTCGTATCCAGTCCGCTGGAACACGAGGACACGGCCGAGCTGGCTGATCCCGATGAACACTTGGAAGATCATGTGGAAAATCACTGTCAAAACGAACACAATAACAACCGAAACGACAATGTTTTTGGCTTTGAAAACAATTACCATTTCCTCACGCCGGACATTTACGAAGTGGCGCCGAGAAATCCGAGTCAGGTCAGCGGAAGCTCAAGCGATAGTGGATACCATGGCAACAACCACAATCGACAAAGGAAAATGGGTGTGTGGAGGGCGTCCAATTGTGAGTGCATGCTTTAGTGACGTGTACATTGCGTAAGGATAGAATGTGATGTACCGAAGAAAAATAATTCTAAATTTGATTGACTCCTCTTAGCTTCTGCTTACATAGAAGTGAACAAGTCAAGCTCGGACTTTCCGTAACTTGCCATACCTTGGTCAACCTTGTTCCCGGGGTCTTTCTTCTTTCCGCCCCCTGGAGCGAGAGAAGATAAGAGACCCTGGGAACGACATTGTGCCTTCGTGCTAATCTCTTTCTAATCTATCACAAATCGATTATGAGATAGTGTAACGCTAGTTAACCTCTAAAGCCTCAAATTAAATTTGTTATAGTCTCAATTCGATCATTCCGGCAAAACTTTCTTCATCGATAACCGAATTCTCCGAAATAGTGCTATGGCACCCAGTAATTAATGAGAATCTGTGTTTTGATATCGGGATTTGAAGGGTTAATCAGTAGCAAATAAAGCTGATAAGGTAGTTAGGTACAGATATGAATTACTGGTGCTACGTGATAGGTTGGACAGTAAAAAAAGATGTGGTATTTGAAAATTTTAAATTCTTATCTCCTTTTCTTCTCTATTTTGCAAGTTAAAGCTCTTAATATGGTTTGCTGTTGATTTTTTTCTTGATTTATATGACAATTCTGTTGTTCTCTGCAAATTTTTCGTGGTTATTAGACTATGATCACTAGTATGCACTTCGCCCTTTCCAACTCTCGCTTCTCCTACTCATTCTAACTGTCCTTCTGCTCTCGTCTTTTCTATTTCCCGTTCTCCAGCTCAACACAACGTGTTCCGCTGTGGGAATAAGCCCCAGCTCCTCTCTCCCTTGAGCTATCTCTCGCACCTGCACGTCCCAGGCCTTTCCGATATCTCCGATGTAAAGCGTAACCTTAGTGAGTTGAGTGTCACTTCCAGTGTTGACAGCGGTTTTAAAGGCAGCGGTCATTCCTTCCGTCTACGGGATAGGTCTCCGGTCAGATGTAAGTGTAAACAAATGACCATGCACAAGCACGGCACGTGACGTGATCCATTCATCACGTGATAGCACCTGATACTGATTTCCAATCCAAAGCTACTACAAACAGGACTTACGAACTTTTCAAACGAACTTTTTATTCTCGAAAAAATGCACTTGCAACCTGTTTTACGTTCTGTTACGGTTCTCTTCTTCTCTTACTGACCTTAGACCTTGGTAATAGCAAAGAACTTTGCAAATTGAGTTGCAAAATGAACTGATTTCATCTTTTCCTGCAGCCCCGTTAATGATTTCCGTACATGCATACTTTCACATCATGTTATCACTTAGTTCCCTGACATTAACTTATAACAAGTTAAAATTTCAATCAAATAGCATGCTAGATATAACTGTTATAGATAGCCGAGTTAATGTATAACGGGTAAATGTTTCACTGTTGGGAAACCTATTCTGTGCTTATTTAGACCTGGAAACACGTTCCATTTTCAGAAGAATCTATCGGCGATTTTCAGCTCCTGATTACGAAAGATGATACTTCATACGTTCATATTCTATGACCAAATCATGTCAAACGTGCCTCACGCAATCGTGCTAATAATGAAATCCAACCACAAAAGTAAACTCTCTGTTAAATCATAACCTTACTCTGATGTCATTTTCTCCAGGCCCTGGCAGAGCAGTGCCCGTGTCCAAAGTCCAAGAGCATACGTGGAAAAGCGAACAAAAACACGAAACCGAGGCAGAGATACCAAAAATTCAGAGCACAGAGGATCTGAATGGGGAACTAGCCATCGGACCTATAGGTAAGTGAAGAATGCTCTCTAATAAGTTATGCACCAGCAAGAATAGTTGCGATAGGCGTAGTGGCCTCGTGGTTAGTGCGCTCGTCTCCGGATCGAGCGGTCCGGGTTCGAGCCCTGGCCGGGGATTTCGTGTTGTTTTTGGGCAGGACACTTTACTCTCACAGTGCTTCCCTCCACCCAGGTGTCTAAATGGGTTCCGGCGAACTTAATGCTGGGGGTAACCTCCTTTAACGACAAGGGGGAGATGCGGAAAATCAAACATCATATATGACCCTCAAATCTACCAACATGACCTACATGATGGAATAAAAAAAAAAGTAAAAAAGAAAATGATACGTGGGGGAAACTAAACCTGCACTTCGCCAGCGATTCACAGAACACCGACAAGCCACAAACAAACGCCAGTTCCCTCTATAAGATGCCCCTGCGGGGAATCATGGGAGTTGTATTCAACACAACTACCATGATTCCTTGCAGGCACGTCTCATAAAGAGAATAGGCTTTTCTAGTTACACTAATATACAGAAGCAGTACCAACGCATCATAACCTGTCCCATTACTCATTGTCACTTATTGTGTTTATTTTTAAGGTCTGGAAACAGTTATTTGACTCTGATCACTCACAAGATAAGAAAGAGGCCACCCCAGACACAGATGCCGATAGTAGCAACATCATGTCAAGTTTCGTTTACTCGATAAAGAGGTATTCTAGCAACCTCGACTTCGATTACAATTTCTGAACCAAACCATCGCTGTTTTCACAGCAATTCCGTTAGGAACCATGGAAACAATAAAATACTACATGTCTACAAGAAATGAATAGTCTTTGAAGAAAGACTTAAAATTTGTGCAGATTTAAACTCTGTTGTTGTTAAACTTGTTCAATATTCTGAAAAACATGAAATGCTGAACAGCACAGACACACAAATAATATATTTTTCAAAAGAAGACGAGAAAAGTGTTTCACTTCTGGCGGGGTGCTTAATCAAGATGAGCTGTTGGAATTTTGTAATGGTACTTTCCCTAATTGAAAAAAGCGACTGCAAAACTAGAAGAAGGCAAGTCAATAATGGTCATCAACCTTAAGTATAGCACAGTTTTCAACAACGCAAACTGGAATACGCAAAACTAAAATACTTATTAGCATTGCTTCGTTAAATGGAGCCACATGTTCCGGCGGGGAAGAACCACAAGGAATGAGTCAGCAAGTGTGGTGTGATTCTTCGTTACTAGTATTAAAAAAAGACTGTGCAGCCAAACTCAGCACAAAATAATTTTCTTGTTACATAACTAACTAAAACATTCAAACTATATATTTCTTAAATAAATAAGGGAATAATATTTATCTAACATAATTATATGACTGGCAAAATTACTTCATTGTAATTGGCTGACGGCTGGCCAATTTATCGTGAATTTTTAATTTGTACATCAGTGCAAATAAACGCGAGTGCGTTCGTAATTTTCTCAGTAATATAATAAATGTTATAATCCTACGAAGGCTCAAGCAATTAAGGATTTACAATACTCGTGATATTTGAAAAGTTTTTTCAGATAACTCTTGCCTAAATGTTCGTGCCATTGCGAGAGAATTTTCAAATATTACTCGTAGTGCAAATCCTTAATTGCTAGCGCATTCCTACGATTACCTATACCAATGAAAACTGCCTAGTTTTCATTATGGCTAAATGCTAATACAAACTCAAACCTGCTGCAAAAGTAAATAAACAAGCATGCCAAATAAAGTCAGATAAACACTTGGAACCATATTATAAATATGTCCTGTGTATAAACAAATAAATAAACAACAGACAATAAATCAAGTTTCGTAATAAGTGGTAAAATTCTTGCGCGTTGTAGTTTGGTCGGGAGCTATTAGGAGTATAGATTGAACTGAGGTACGTTGCAAGGCAATTTTTGGTAGGATAGGGTAAAATAGCGTGTTGTAGGGTGGGGTAGGGCAATGTTGGGTAGGGTAGCGCAGCGTAGAGTAGAGTCCAGTCCAGTGCAGTGCAGTGCAGTGCAGTGCAGTGCAGTGCAGTGCAGTGCAGTGCAGTGCAGTTCAGTTCAGTCCAGTTTAGTCGTGTCCAGTCGGGTCCAGTCGAGTCGATTCCAGTAGAGTAACGTAGCGTAGAGTAGAGCAGAGCAGAGCAG